GGGGATTTTGGGGACGTTTTAGGGGTTTTTTGTCACTTGCTCTGTCACAGGTGTCAGCCATGCGCTGCGGGCTGCTGCCCATCTCCCGTGCCGCTCTGCTGCTGGGGGATGTTGCCTACTTCGATTTCCGCGGGGAGGTGGAGGACGAGGCCGATCGGGTCGAGCTCCAAAAATCACTTGGTCCCACCTGCAAGGTCCTCGTCCCCTCTTCCTCGTCCCCTCTTCCTTGTCCCCATCCCCTCCTCCTTGTCCCGCTGACGTGTGTGTCCCCCTGCTCGCAGATCCTGGTGCTGCGCAATCACGGCGTGCTGGCACTGGGTGACACAGCTGAGGAGGCCTTTTACAGCATCTTCCACCTGCAGGCGGCCTGCGAGATCCAGGTGAGCACCAGCCTGGGGCATGTAATGAGCTGTGTGTGGTCTCAGCTGCCAGGGCGGTGCCTGTGGGATAAGCACTGAGCTGTGCCAGGTCTCAGCTGCCAGCACCGTGCCCTGGGAGCTTGCACTGAGCTGTGCTGGGTCTCTGCTGTCACCATGGTGCTCTGAGACCGTGCACTGAGCTGTGCTGGGTTTTTGCTGACATCCTGATGCCCTGGGACCGTGCACTGAGCTGTACCAGGTCTCTCACAGCAGCACAGTGTCCCTGGAGCTTATGCTGGGCTGTGCCAGGTCTCTGCAGTCAGTGTGGTGTGCTGGGACCATGCTCTGAGCTGTGCTGGGTCTTTGCAGTCAATGTGGTGCCCCAGGAGCATGCACTGAGCTGTGCCAGATCTCAGCTGTCACCATGGTGTTCCCAGACCATGCACTGAGCAGTATTGGGTCTCTGCAGCCAGTGTGGTGCTCGGGACCCTGCACTGAGCTGTACCAGGTCTCTGCTGCAAGCACAGTGTCCTGGGACCATGCACTGAGCTGTGCCAGGTCTCTGCATCCAGCACGTTTCTCTGAGACCATGCACTGAGTTTTACCAGGTCTCTCACAGCAGCACAGTGTCCCAGGAGCTTATGCTGGGCTGTGCCAGGTCTCTGCTCCCAGTGTGGTGCCCCGGGACCATGCACTGAGCTGTGCCAGGTCTCTGCATCCAGCACGTTTCTCTGAGACCATGCACTGAGTTTTACCAGGTCTCTCACAGCAGCACAGTGTCCCAGGAGCTTATGCTGGGCTGTGCCAGGTCTCTGCTCCCAGTGTGGTGCCCCGGGACCATGCACTGAGCTGTGCCAGGTCTCTGCATCCAGCACGTTTCTCTGAGACCATGCACTGAGTTTTACCAGGTCTCTCACAGCAGCACAGTGTCCCAGGAGCTTATGCTGGGCTGTGCCAGGTCTCTGCTCCCAGTGTGGTGCCCCGGGACCATGCACTGAGCTGTGCCAGGTCTCTGCATCCAGCACGTTTCTCTGAGACCATGCACTGAGTTTTACCAGGTCTCTCACAGCAGCACAGTGTCCCAGGAGCTTATGCTGGGCTGTGCCAGGTCTCTGCTCCCAGTGTGGTGCCCCGGGACCATGCACTGAGCTGTGCCAAGTCTCTGCAGCCAATGTGGTGCCCCGGGACCATGCATTGAGCTGTGCTAGGTCTCTGCAGCCAATGTGGTGCCCTGGCACTATGCACTGAGCTGTGCTGGGTCTCTGCAGTCAGCGTGGTGCCCCGGGACCATGCACTGAGCTGTGCTGGGTCTCTGAGGCCAGCGCGGTGCCTGGGATGGGACAGACCAGCGCAGCCCCATAGCCATGAGGGCCGTGGGCAGCTCTGGAGCTGTGGGCAGCTCTGGGCCCATCCCCATCCGCCCACATCAGCCGTGTCTCCCGGCTCGGCCGCAGGTGTCGGCGCTGGCGAGCGCGGGCGGCGCGGAGAACCTGATCGTGCTGGAGCGCACCAAGCACCGGCCCCACGAGGTGGGCTCCGTGCGCTGGGCCGGCAGCACCTTCGGGCCCATGCAGAAGAGTCGCTTGGGCGAGCACGAATTCGAAGCCCTGATGAGGATGCTGGACAACCTGGTGAGCAGCATCCAGTGTCGAAACACCCCAAAATACCTCTTCTTTTTAATCATCATTGCTCACAACCGAACACTCTGCTTTGCCAGGGTTACCGCACGGGCTACACCTACCGCTACCCCTTCGTGCAAGAGAAAAGCAAGCCCAAAAGCGACGTCCTGATCCCCGCCACCGTGACAGCCTTCGTCTTCGAGGAGGAGGCGGCCCCCGTCCCCGCGCTGCGGCAGCATGCCCAGAAGCAGCAGAAGGAGAAGACGCGGTGGCTCAACACCCCTAACACCTACATGAGGGTCAACGTGGCCGAGGAGCAGCAGGGCAGCGCCGGCAGCCAGAAGACAAAGGTGGGGAGCTGCTGTGGTATCCTGGGGGTGCTGGGGTAATTTGGGATGGGGTTTGGCTCCGGGAATGGCATCAGCCCAGTGGTGGGTGGGTTTTTGGGTAGTGAAACAAAGGTAGATGGGGGATTCCTGGGATGTTACTGAGCCCACCAAGATTTGGTGTGCAGAAACACCCTGCAGAAATGAGAAATTACGCCTTTACTTAACACAAACTTTCCTTTCCTCCTCTATTTTCCTGCTCTGTAATAGTATTGATTTTAAAATCCCACCTCCCCAGCCCAGGGCACCAAGTGCCGTGGGGTTCATCGGGGTCTCCCCTCTGTGTGAGATGCATTTATTGGGGTCTCCCCTCTATGCAGCACTCATCAGGGTCTCCCCTCTATGTGAGATGCATTTATCAGAGTTTCCCCTCTGTGTAAGATGCATTTCTGGGGTCTCCCCTTTATGCAGCACACATTTATTGGGGTCTCCCCTCTATGTAAGATGCATTTATTGGGGTCTCCCATCTATGCAGCACACATTTATTGGGGTCTCCCCTCTATGTAAGATGCATTTATTGGGGTCTCCCATCTATGCAGCACACATTTATTGGGATCTCTCCTCTATGCAACACACATTTTTGGGGTCTCCTTTCTCCATGACCTGTATTTATCGGGGTTTCATCTCCACAACACGCAGTGGCTGAAAGCAGACGAGGTGGAAAAGGGCAGCAGCGGGACCCCCATCCGCATCGAGAACCCCAACCAGTTCGTGCCCCTCTACACGGACCCGCAGGAGGTGCTGGAGATGAGGAACAAGGTACGAGCCCATCCTGAGAGCCCCAGAGGCTCTCAGCCATGGGCGCAGGGGTCTCTGCAGACCCTGGGGTGGCAGAGGCGGCTTTTTGCTTGTCCTTACTCTGCTTTTCACCCACAGA